GCTTCATATATTTAAACAATAATAGCAAAATTATAATGATGCATATTAATACATGTATATTATAATAACAATAAGGATTCTTAATGAATAAATAACAATACTTAAATCCCAATAGAAATCTGATGATAAATATTGTGTAATAAATTTTAACAAATTTCAAAAAATTAACAGCATTACATAAAATTTAGTAAATTTGATTATTGAATACTGTATAAGACCAATATAAAATAATCAAATGAACATGGTTTGAATTATGAATTTAATTTTTATTTCCACACTCCTTGCAGGTTTGTAAAATGATTAGCAAGTGTAGTTTTAAAACAAGTTGGTTTTCAAATCAAAACTACCAGGAATAGCTAGAAAGGGATTCACACCCTAGAAAAGCAAGATGTAAACCATGCCAAAGTTCATTTGACATCAGCAACATGGGAGAAGCAGCATTGCACAGCCATATGACAATCAATAAACATGCAGAAAACATGAAGGCATAATCAAATAATACTACTATCTATACCTTTTTCAAACCTCCTGAACAGAAAGTGCTCATGTTAAAAAAACCAACTACCAATGGAACTGCCACTTATTCAACTTTCAGCATCCCGTCATTTGTTTCTTCTTCTGATGTTTTAAGATCAGCAGTTTTATGGACTTTGAGAACTTGACTGTCATGGTTCATTTTATTCAAAGGATCATAGAAGGTTTCAAGAGTATGTTTCCCAACAATGAAATTGCCCAAAAGTCTTCATGCGGGGAAGACAAAACATCATAATAAACAAACAAACAAAAAATTGTTGAAAGTTGCTTAATCGAAAGCTTGCTGAATTTCAATACTTCCCAAGGTCACTTTAAGCTAAATAACTTCTAGACTACTCGTGAACTTAAGGGAATTCAAAATTCCGGTGTCACCTGGGCATTGTTGATTAGTTTTTCTGCCAGAGGACAACCTGAGACTGAAGAGGATACAAAAATGTGTCAAAACTTGTTTGTCCTATGTTAAGACTTCTGACAGTTTATTCTGTTTACCATGTTTTTTTTTATGTCTGTTCAATAACTGCTACACACAATATTGTGTTATTTTATGACATAACATCATACTTAGCTATACATGGATTAGCTCCATATTTCATTTTCATACTGAAGCAGAAAATCACAGAAGTCTGAGTGTGACATTCATGCTTGCATTTAGGATGAAAAACTGTTAATTCAAGATACATCAAATCAGAATTCTTAGGACATACTACTGCAAGTAATCTATTTGACAAGCCATTCCTTGTTGTCACAGACCTCATTCAAAGAATTTATTGCAGATATCCATGGATGGCCCCAATGTTAATTTGAAATTACATGATATGTAATCAACTGAAGCTAATAAACATAATCCAAAGAGACACCTTTTGGAAGTGTAAAGCAGATGACTGGAAATTGGAAAAATTCTGGCAAAGATTCTCCAGCAAGAGCTATTGACTTCAAAAGTGAGACTGGATGCTCAGACTTCCACCAAAGTTTTGTAAGCACTGGTGATTGGAGTGGAGAACATCAGTTTATGGAAAAGTGCTTGTACCTGCTGCCTCATCTTAAAATATATGTGAGTGTACAGAAAACTTAATAAACTTAATCCAAAGAGACACATTTCGCAAGTTGAATCTTATGGTTTACACACAATCCACAATGTTTGTAGAGTAAGTGTAAAGCAGGTGACTGGAAATTTGATGTCCCTGCAATTGTCTGATTCAAGAGTTTGTATGTTTCAAAAAGAGCAGGACAGACTGGATACCATATATTTACATCTCCTTTCAGACAAGAAACAATTTCAGATGCTCTCCTCTCTTTGTCTTGTTGACAGATCAGTGTTGAAAGGGGCTTTTCTGTAAATAAAGAAGCTATTACAGAAAAACAGCAGAGCATGTTCCTTAATACTAGGAGAGTCATAATTGACCACAGTAGACATGTCAGAGGTGTTCTGAATGTAAACATAACTACAGAAATGCTTACCTTTGTTGGAAATGCAAGTCCAGAAAGCAGAAGCTACAGCAAAGTGACAAGAGAAAGGTTGAAGAAGTTGAATTCACACTGGAAGATCTCAAACATAAGAAGATTAGTCTTAAGTTTGAAATTAAGCAGCTCCTTTCATCAGCTGATGAAAACTTTGAGAAAGCTGAAAATGAAAAAAACTTTAGCCCCCTCATAGTAGTTAATTCCATGAAGAAAGTTGTAAGAGAGAAGGAAGAATCCTTTAGTCTTTCATGATGAAAATTGAAGAGAAACTATCAAACGAGAAATGCTGAAACACTTTGACTTTTTTATTTTTAAATAATTCAATTGCATTTGAACATTGCTAGATTACTGCCTTTTTCACCATATAAAAACATTATTTACCAATATTTGTGTAATATCTACAGTTGAAAATGTATATGTCCAGGTGCAGTTTCTTGCATAATGCACAAGAAATGGGCCTTGAATTTATAAAATTGGTCATTAAAAAGTTGTTAAATTTCAATTCTGCATAGGTGCAGGAACACTAATAAACTAATTTGTGACTGTTACTGGACTGGACTGGACATTGAATTACTTTTTACCAGAATAGAACTACAATATCAGAGTGATTTAGTAAAATTTTACGTACAGAGGTTGTTTGTTGAGAAAAGTTAAGATGTTACTTTGGGGTGAGTTCCAAAATTAAAGAGCAAAAAAAAAAGCATTCTAGACAAGGAAATTGATAAAATAGAAAATCCCAAAGTTTTTATTGCTTTTGCAAGGGATAAGGATGAGGAATATTGTTTTTACCATTGTTTTCAATGGAAGAATGTCTAGTGTGTAAGGAATAAAATCTTGAGTATTTATAGCTGTATCAGACTTGGGCCTTTAACTGTTGATAAAGATGGAGAAAGAAAGAATCCCAAGGATTTTTGTAGTAGAGGATTGTTTAAATATACTGAAAGACTATGTGTTAATTTTGTCATCTGCTAATTGATAAAACAAAGTTGGTTTTATAGAATAAAAGATTCATAAGAAAGCTTTACAAGAATCCATGAAGACATAAAAATCAGTAATTAAAATCTAGAACAAAGGTAGGCATTTTTTATTGTTTCTTGAAAAATATATACTACAATAAAATGTTTTCAAATCTCTTAGTACACACAAGATCACATATAAAAGCAAGCTATTGTATTTGCTGACATTACATAATCAGTAGAAAGATCGTCTGAAGCTTCAAAGTATTTCATGCAGTAGTTTTTTTTTTGCAGTTCATGAAAGAAACTATACAGTAGGTGTATTGATTTGATACATTGATTGTGAAGGATTTAACTAAAACACTCAGACTTCTGTAACAGTAATAACTTTTATACTGGTGGTAATAGGAAAATTTGCTTTATGAATCTCATTTTGTTATACAAAATGAAGGAGTGTATTTACTCTTCTGACTGATTTAAATTAATACTCACCTTTGGTTACAACAACAATATAACTATTTCAATTTTATTGGTTTATAAAACAGTTGGTTTGTTCTTATTAAAGTAATATTATAAAATGTGACACTAAACAATATAGCTACAACTTATTTTTCTTTTTTGAAATTTTTGTTCATTAATTTCTTGGTTAAAGAGAACACCAGTGCCTTGCTATTAACATCACTGTTTATATCATTCTGATGTATTTTTATAAACTAATTACCCTTAACATGCCAATAGGTAGTTCAGGCAATCTGATCATACATAGTTGAACTGGGATAACGTTTTTAAGATATTGACTAATGACTTATGAATGTGAAAAAAATGTACTATTTGAACAAAATGATATGTCCATATATGTGAATATCATTTAGAGTAAATATTTTTAATCATTTAGGGTTTACAAAGTGAAACTTGACAACTTGAAAATTCAGAATTTTACTTTAAAGAAAAATGGTAATTTATTTATTTATTTATTTATTTTTCAATAATGCAAGCTAATTTATTAAATACAAATTGCTGTGAAATGTGTATAATGAAAAGTTCTAGCTTTATATCTAATATATGAATATATTTCATAATAGTTTATTGAGTTTTCTTATCTGTTTACCTTTAACTTTGAACTTCAGGTGTTTTAGAGATTGTAAGTCTGAAAGTTTAATCCACTGTTGTAAACATTGTGTTTTTATCTTAGTGTATATAGATTGAGAAATAAATTCAATCTCCTAAGCTGTTGAATCTCATGAGATAGTACTGGGATCACAGGCAAAGACATTGATAACAGTGAGGGTAACCAACCTTTGATTTGTTTGTTTATAGTTAAGCACAAAGCTGCACAATGGTTTATCTGTGCTCTGCCCACACGGGTATCGAAACCCGGTTTCTAGTGTTGTATGTCCACAGACATGCTACTGTGAATCAGCATATTTTAATCATTATAAGTTTTTATATTATGACAATTCATAGTCAGTCTTACTTAGACCAGTATATTAAATTATCTACATTATTTATTCAGTTAATTGTTAATTCTACTCTGATCAGAAGTTACAGGTAATAAAAAATTAGACACACAGCTGTGTCCTACTTGTAGTAAAGGAAACTTTTCATTATCTGATTTTGTATAACTACTGTATAGTACAATGGTTTCAAACTTTAACTGTTGTGGTATTTTCTGGCTCACAGATTTACCTTAGAGTAGTTAGTTAGGGCCCTTTATCTGGAGGTTTGAGTGGGTCACAGAGTGTATTTCTCCTTGATCTCTGACTGGGTTCATAACACAGAAAGAGATAGCTAGTATATACAAATGTACAATTGAAACAAAAATCTTTATTAAACTCTTAAAAACAAAATGACACAAAAAGACAAGAATGTCTAGTAGATATGTAGAACTGGCAAGAGATATGGGAAAAACCTTTAATAGTTTCTCTTAATTGTTCAGTGTGCTCTCCCTTGTAAGCTAAAATTAAGTGGAAAGTTTAAAAGGAAGTTAAATTCAAATAAAAATGCTTAAACTACTTGCTTAAGCAAACCCAAACTCTCTTGGAAGCTATGGTTTACTACAATGTTAAAGTCACTAAAATTAGAAGCTTTTAATAATTCCCAAGAAGTTTGTAAGTCACAAGAAATACTAAAAGTCTAAATATAAATCAAAACTTCTAAAAGTCTGTTTTCTCTGAGCAAACCTGGCCTGATATACAAAAACACCAATATTACATAAAACCAGGCTTGCACATGGCTCCACTTTGCAAGCAACTTGCACATTTGTCCACAGTGTCTGAACATTTTTAGGTTTGCTAATATGAAAAACAGTTGTTTATCTCATAACATTAAGTTATATTTTTTATAAGAAAACACAGATAACTGGCAATTCATGTGCCCTGTGCATTGGAGAAAGAGATAGTTGAATAACTTTCTTGAGTGCCTCTCTGTATCCAAACTAAGAACTCTGAAAATGAAATAATTTCAAAAATTTACATATTAACTAAAGGAGGGGTTAATGCATGGTACAGTCCTGTACTACACTATACAATATTTTACCAATGTTAATGGATTTTTTAACATGTTTTCCTTGCTTATGAAAGTTTAGAATACTTGTTTCAAGGTAAATCACAGCTGGGAGGCAGCTATAGTACACACATTTTTTTATTAATATAGGAATCTTAATAAATACATTGATACTAATAAGAATAACATTTGTGGTAATTACTTGTAGTGAATCTTTCAGAGAAGAGAATTTTGAGAATAGTATTTCTCTCAGTTGACTGCTATGTATTAATTATTGAGGCCCATCTTTTTACATTTTCCTGCTTTGTACAGTATTAGTACAGTACCAGGAAATTTTAGGCTCAAAATATAAGCCTACATGCTGTTTACTAATGTAAAGTAGAAAATTCTGCTGTGCATCTGTTTAAAATAAAAAGGCAAAATGTACATGTATGGTACAAATTAAAATCAAAATATTTCAAGATGTTGTAACCAGTTGTTTAAAATTTTCTTTTCCACACACACTGCATTATAGAAAAAACACAAAAATGAAATGTGTTTTTTCCAGACTTTTCAAGATTGTTCCCAATACAGCTAACATGTATACTTATCTAAAGCATCTAGACCAAAAATTCATTTTATGTTTCCTTCTTATTTTATTTTACAAAATTTCCTGCAATTTTTTTAATATCAAATTGCATTTTTTTACATAACATATCTTGGATTTTTATTTTATTTTTTGAACAGTTATTAACAAAGCAAATTGTAGCTATGATCACAACTGCTAGCTTGTCATCTTCTTCTTATCTTTGCAAAAATTGTTCTAAATGTATAGCAGTTGTATAAACAGCAAGTATTTCATGTAGTGATTTGTGAGAGAGGATGCATTTTTATGATAATTAGTTTTTAGTTAAATACTATAACTGTTTTACAAACTAGGACACAGAAAAACTTAACAGCATTTTGTATTTCCAGGAACCATAGAAAATTGGTAGATTTTATAGTTGATTTTACTTATTGTTTATTTTATTTAAGAAAAGCCCTACAAACCAAATACCATTGGATTCAGTGTGAAAAACCTTATCAAGTGCACTCCCATGAAAGCAACCTAAATGTATTATTATTTACAGCATAACACATACAAAGTAGCCTCCTATGGTAAAAAAAAGGGCTTAGCCACTGAAATAATAATTGTACTAGCTCTAGCATAACACATACAATTTAGTAGCCCCTATGGTAATTATATAAAAGTTTGTGAGTGAAAGTAAAGAAGTATGTAATAATCTATCAACTACATCTGCTATATTCAGTGTCAGTAAGGTCTTTTCCCCAATAACTAAGGAATCAAGCCTGTGACACAATAGTTAGATGCACCATGTGGTGTAAATCTTGTGAACTGTGCTGTAAGTGAAAAGGTTCATGAAGGAAACAACATGGACAACAAAACCAGTAACCAGTATTGTGTTAAAACAAATTGAGAGAGCTGCTATCATTGTGCTTGCTCTGCTACCAGATAACCAACAGTGGGAATAAATACATCCTCATATTGATGGTTTCATCGTTGGTCAGACGAACATGTTGTTCATAACCAGGAAGCAGAAATTTTAGCAAGAAAGCTAGTTAATGGATTTGTTTCAAGATTGTGAGTGCTGATGGAACTCTCAGATCAGGAACAGAACTTTAATTCAGCTTTCCAGAGATGTGTCAAATCCTTAGGATAAAAAAATATGTAGGACAACAGCTTTTCATCCACCTTCTGATAGAATAGTAGAAAGATACAATTATACACTTTTAAATCATTTAGGCATTTATGTGGATGAGCATCAGAAAATGTAGGATAATGACCTTCTGTTCCTACTCGTGAATTATCGAACAGCAATATATGAAGCTACAAGCAACACACCAGCATCACTAAGGTTTGGGAGAGAACTCATAATACAATTACACTTTCTGTACTCACATCCAGAGGACCATAACTAATTAGTCTTACACACAGCATACAGAATGACTAAGGAACAGCATTGATACCATATATGACTTGACCCGAGAAATTCTTAAATCAGCTAGTGATAAGATGAAAATTTGCTATAACTTAAATGTTGATAATACTAAATTTTATCATGTTGATGACATGGTATGGCTGTACAATCCCTGCAGCAAGAGAGGACAGTCTCAAAAATTTATGTAGTTGCTGGGACGGGTCCTATGCTGTAGTCAAAATAATCAATAATGTGGTTTATAAAATCCAGAATGACAGTAATCCAAGCCACAAATCATCCATTGTGGCCATCTTTAGAAGTACATCAGAGAGAGAACAGCTAAATGGTTAACTTTGGAGAAGGCTCCCAGTGGTAAGTCAGCCTGTTGAAGAGTCTGCAGTTGCTATTGAATCAACTGTCAGAGTATCATCAAAGATAGAGCAACCGGGAGATTCCATGGATGAACTAGCTGAACAGTCATCCTTCAGTGACAACACGTCTAATGTTGATAAAGGGGATGAGGCTGTCCTATTTTCATACCAAAAGCCACAGAAAATATATCTACCCAAAACATTTTGTGACCGGACTGTTTAGGGACTGTAAATAGATAGAAAAATATTTTGTTTTGTTAGTCAATTTTTTATTGTAATTTGTTTCACATATTTAATTAATGGTTGTAATATCAAGGAATGTTAATGATGGTAATTTTCTTCATTGTTATTATGGAAGTTTAAATTTAGTGATGTAAATATGTTGTGTAATAGGATTGTTTAATTGACTTCACAGTCCAGTTTGGGGAGAGTGTTGTGGGTTTATGTACCCAATATTTTAATTTAGATGTTAGTAATGTTGTTTTGGTTAGAAAATGTTCTTCTTTTGATTTGATGTGATGAGCTTGTATATAAAATTCTCTTTAATTCTTGATTTTGAACTATGACTAGAGGGAAGGTAGCCAGTCAGCAGCATTAATGTTAAGGGATTGACTGTCATTTGAATGGTATAATTCACCCACAGCTTAAAATGTGAGGAATATATTCTAGTGGTATTGTACGAATTTGGACCTGGCTCACTAGAGCTCTCCTACAGGCCAACTCTCACCAAACCCAGTTAAGCAAATTTATTTTGAATCTGTATTTCAACATGCTAAGTAGTAGAGATACACAAGTAAGTGTTTAGTTTTATTTGTGAATTAGGCCTAGTGAATGTAACTTGTATTGGAAATAATAAAAAACTTTTGTTATCAAAGAGTGGACCGGACTTTGCATTATTTTAACTGAATAATCAAAAAGAGCCTATCCAAAGAGATATATATATATATATACCATTACAGTGACACTTATTTTGTTTGTTATTTGCTCAGCCTTACAGATCTTAATTTGGTTTACTCAACCAGCTGAATTACCTCATGCATGTAGGCAGGGGCCAGATGTGATCACCCCCTCTCAATTGAACCCATATATAAGAGCCTAAAATATCATCAAAATGCAATGTTTTCAGTGAAAATTACAAAATTTATCGAAGGGAGCATATATTCTGATACATTATCTCATCTCACATAAATAGTTATTCTTGTAGGGTGCTGCCCTCTATATGAAAAATTTTATTCGCATGCCACAAGCCTTGAGTTCCCACGATCAACATGGTTCAACTGCATCTCCCATCTAAATCATCATGTGACAACCCTCCAATAGGAGTGTGACACACCTTACTGAAGCATGTGACTCCCTCTATTCGGTTCTACTGATCTTAGTGAACTGTTACTTTTGGTTTGGCAGTGTGAAAGTCAAGACGTTTGTTTTTTGTTTGTGCTTTCCTCCCACATTTTGTTGTTTTGAAATTTTGTGGGAATTGGAGATATTTTCTTCTTTTTTTTTCTTTTTTACCAGTTTAATGTGATAATTTTATTGTTCTTAATTTTGTTCCTTGGTTTTCATGAAGTTTATGTTTCAACTTCGAAAATGTGATAATTTACTTTTAGCACAATTACCCAGGCTTCAGATGGTGGTACTCGACTGAGGAATTATCCATTTTAATAAATCGGGAGATTGATCGTTATATGAGTTGACTTTCATTAGGCCCTGAGTTCAGGGGCTCACACATTTAGAATACAGTCTGCTGAGTTTCAACAGATAAGCTGTTAGTGTTATTCTAGTATAGATTTTTGAATATTTTCAATATTAATATTATTATTTGTAGTTATTTGGTTTCAATTACATACATTTAATTTGATTTGTACCTACTTATAATGTAAGGTTAGTGTCTGTTATTGTTAATTAACGTTTAGTGATACCCTTTGTACTACAACTTTATATTAGGCTTAACATGCATCTTTGGTAAATTGTAAATTAGGTTAAATATATGGTTTCTTCAACAAGTACCATCTACTAAATTTTTTATTGCTAATATGCACTTACTAAAGTTACTTAATTTTAAAATATAACAATTTTCATAATTAATTATATTTTACACTTCTTACAATTAATTTTATTTGTGACGACCCCAGGGTCCACCTAACCTTCTCCCAGTATGGCTCGCCTTCTTCCTCAAACAGCTGAGCATGTTGGGACAATTGACAATTTTCCTCCACCTGATAATGAATTGTCCGTCCCACGTCTCTACTACAGAGTCTGCTAGGCCTACCTTAGCCCTTTTTGTACATGTTTCACTTGGGTTTTTTTCCTTCTTTTCCAGACATTTTGGTTCATGCTGGGCCTTTTTGTCAGTCTTTTGAGAGAGAGTGCTGGCATACCTTACCATCAAGCAGATTGTATTTTGTTTTATTGCTTCTCTGCTCTAGGAATCCTTCCTGTACGGTGGGAGGGGGGCACTGTCTATCCCTTTCTTCCTACTCAAGTTTTCCAGCATTCATTCTTCCCTATTGCTTCTCCTACTGGTATTGGCTGTCATACATCTCCTTTCCAAGGCATTCTTGGTTCTTTTACTTTTTACTATATTGTTATTTATCACAATTTGGTGGGCCATTTCTCCAGGACTGAGGATGCCCAAGTTTGATGTTTTGTATTCTTATGCCCACATTCCTATTTTTCATCACTCATGGTGCTGTCTTAGGTTTGTTCACCTTGGGGTTGGGTACCAGTTTTGAGCCTTGCCTTTGGAGCTTGTTTCAGATCTATATATTATGTCTGTCCCCGGTTTCTCATCCACTTGCCTTGGGACCTGTTTATACTGTTATGTCTCTGGTCGTTTGTTAATTTCCCGTAAAAATTCTCCCTGAGAAACTTCAGCGAATCAAGTTCTTTCTGAATTAAAATTAGTTTATTCTTTCTCAATACAACTTTGCAATACACAGAATTCCCACAGTCACTTTAACTTAAACACACGCTATAATTCACAACGATTCACGCACTTTACTTACGGTCACTATCGCTCACTTGACTCAATTATCTGTCTCTATATTCAATCTCTCTACCTGCAATTATTTGCCGGGATTAAATACTAAAAT